TAACTACACAAGGAAGATTAATTTACAGCAAGTAGATTAAACATAGTGTAACTGCACAAGGAAGATTAATTTACAGCAAGTAGATTGCAATAAAGAAAATAATCCCAGGTTTCAGTTGATATGCATACAATTTTTTCAGTTTCAGAAACTGGCAAGTTGTAAAAAAAAAAAAATAGTAAGCAAAAATTAGGGTTGACAGTTTGATGTTTTTTAATTACTTCATCCAAAACAAATGTTGATAAAACATCAAAAGAAATTTTAAAACTTCAACATTTCAGTTATGATTTTATTTTGGAGGTGATTTTAGAGAATACATCACATAATATTTCAAAACTTGATCTTGTCGTTTTGCCCGTATAAAAACTTGAGATACCAGGGTGAAAAGGAATAAAAGTGCAATGTTTCAGCCCATAGGAGTGGGCTGTCTTCAGATAATGTATTATTAACAAGTAGGATTGTCATCTCTTAGAACTTGTATTAATGAAGATCATAATGGCTGGGATAGTTGGAACGTGGTATAACCAAATACAATAGTAATTGGAAACACTGATTTTAGTGACACTAATTGATGTACGTAGGTAACTGACTGAGTTAATAGCCTTGTTATATTTAGTCAGAACAATTATCTGTATTTGTAATTTATAGTTTTTAACTTTTCTTTGCAGTGTGATTCTAGCCATAGCTATGGTGCTTCATAGAAAGTGTAAAGCAAGACAAATTCAGAAGCTTGGTATGCTGGATGGAACTTCAACACGTATGATGGCCTATAATTACACATTTCTGTTACTTCTTATTTTATGTATTATTTTATATTAAAGTGTTCTTCACTTTTACATTTCAACTGAGTATAAAAAAAAATGTGAAGCATTCAGAACTGAAAGCTGTGTTGTCTGTAATGGTAAAATCAGAATATTTAGGATTTTGGAATAGTTCTAATAATGTTAAAGAGTTTGCTAGTTTCAAACAACATATCTTTTTTATTAAGATAGATTTAATGTATATAACTTCGTAATATCACTTTGAATAATTGCTATAAAAAGGAGTTGTGCTCAAATGTTTTTTTTATCAAGGTAAATCACAGGATCCCAACCAGAATTCTTATTATGAACTAGTCACATCTCTTGCCAGACTTGGACTCATTATGGCATATTTTTATCTTTGTGATAGGTAAGTTTTATAAATTGTTCTTGATGTTAAAAATGTATTTCAGAAATGTTATTCATATCTCTGCACAAGAAATAGCTATTACCCTGTGCACTGCCGTAAAGATCTGCACTGCCACAAGCCTTGAATAAAGTTCCCACCTTTGCATGTGTATTGTGCCAGTCTACGATGTAATCATTACTGTTGTTTTCCACCAATAAGAGGATGACACATCCTCCATAAGCAGTAATCCCCATGAGCACTAGCATTTGAACAAAAGCTTATTCTTTCCTTAGCACTGCTTGTCTTCATTTTTTTATCTTAAGAATTACTGGAATTTTTGTTCTTATTATTTTAAACTTGTATTCCTGTTCATCTTTTCTTAATTTCTTATTATGTAGAATAATATGACCTTTTAAACTTATGGGTTAGAACTTTATGTAATTTTCATCATATTTGTATTTTTGTGGCATATTTCCTTTTCTCACTATTTAATTCAACATGTGGATTTCACCCAGTACTCTTCACAGTCATTGTTAGGCCTATACACCTTTGCTATTCTAGGCCCATCTTCTGCATATTTAACAATAAAGGATCACCACATTATTAGTTTTGTCAATCAACTGGATTATACATCCATATTCCCATGTTTCCAACATCTGATATTTTTTGTGACTACTTCATGGGAGTCATTCAGTATTTCATTGGTAACTGGAGGCACTCTGATGGTCAGTAATATTACTGCCATTGTGCACTATGTGTGTGGTTCCATTCTGATTTCAGATACTATGATTCCTATCCTCTTATTTCTATTACTACAACTGTGTGTGACCCATTTTTTGTTCCACCTATGTTGTTTCCACACCTGCCTTTGCTTCTTCTTCACTTTTTCCAAATGAGAATCAGATAATCCCTCCATCCTTCATTGCTTGTGTTTTTTCTTTCTCTACCTAATTTTTTGCTGAATCTTAGACTCCTTTGTTGCATCTTCACTTGCATCTTTCCTTTCAGTATGGAGATCTCCTCTTTTTTTGTCACTTTCTTTCTCATTCATTCTCACACTTCACTACTGTATCAACTTTACTGGAGCAATTTGCACTTACCTGTTAATCACCTCGCCCAATATTTATTTTTTTCCATTTTGTCCCAGTTAAGTTAGTTTCTAGGATATACTTTGCCAGATTGCCCTACTTTCTGACATTTACCTCCCTCAATATTCATTTCAGGATCTCTGTCTTGCACTTTTCATTGTGATTTGTTTTTTTGTATTACTTATACATTGGCATCTTGAGTTTTAATGCAGTCATCTATTCTGGCTTCTTGCCTTTAAGGCCAGGAGACCCCACCAGTTTTATCACACTATACACTTTGTGGGATCACCTCTCTCCTATTCATTTTCCCTCATTGAGGGCTGGCCATTGTGATTCTTGGAGGTAATTTAGTTCTGATCCTTGGCTCTGGTCCTGTGGGAGCTCTTCTCTTTCATTTTTACATTTATGCATTTCCTTTGCTTCAGCCCGTTGAGTCTCTTGGGGTTTTTTCCTATTCTACTCTCCACTTCCCTTGCTTCAATTGCCATGGAACAATTCCTCAACCCCACATGTCACAAGGTTTTTAGTGAGTTACATTCAAAATTTAACTAAACTATTTTTTTTTGTTATATCAATTAGTATAGCATAAAATCATTGCTAATAATCCATGTTTTAATAAGTTTTAAGTTCTTACTTTTATAAAGCAATATTTAAAAAAATCCTGAACTTCCCCTAGTGTGACATATGACACATTTTCTCTATGTATCTTCTCTATTTTATCTACCACCCTTTCAGTAACTATGAAATTAAATGTAAATTACTCGCTATAAAATTGTCATTGCTCAATTTGCACTCACTTGCTATCATTTGGTAGATATAACTGCCAGTAGTATTGTTGGCTGCTTTGTCCATAATAGCACTTATGGTTGTTCCTTACCTAAATATGTTATAGTTAGAGAGACAGTTAAATTGCATTTACTTTTATATCTTAGTTAATTATGTATTATTTATGTTTTAACTTGCATAGTTGAAAGATTTAAACATTATAAAAATAAATCTCAAACTTTGCCTTGGTTCTTAAGGCTTTTACAGTCTTGCTCAAATGCAAGATAATTGTGCTGAAGGCTTATGAAAAAGCAGAAGACCTGAAATTATGAATATTACCAAAATATCTCAAATGATATTTTACAAAAAATTAAAACATATGTACTTTTTTCTACTTCTTAACTTTTAAAATTTCATTGCACTGTGTGTTGATGATAATATCTACAGTTAGTGATGTGGTAAAAAAAAAATAAAAATAAAAAAAATAAATACATTTACCTTAAAAAAAAGCTTTTGATATTAATTTAGGAGGTTCTAGAGGTTATGCAAATAAAACTCGGAAACTGTAAGATAAAAAAAGTATATTTACACTTAAAATGAAAGTCACCTTGTACTCAAACTATCCAAGTTTGTGTGCAGATAACTACAATAGATAAATAACATTATGTTAGTGGAAAGACTTAATTAACAAGCCCCTCATGAGCCAATGGGTACATTTTTGTTTGAAAAAACAACCCAGTCCAGATTTTCTTCATTTGAGCTGCAATTATTTGGACATTTTTATTGGCTAAAAAGAAGGCATTTCCTGCATTCTTTTATTGTTGGGGCTGTGAAAAGTGATTTGAAGTGGTCAGTTGACTGAAATCTGTCAGTGCATCATGAGCTTAACAGCCAAACACAAGAAGCATGGAAGTTTCCAAATGACACAAAGAGGTATTATTCAGGAACCATTTAGAACCACCTTGGTAGATATTGTGCAGCAAGCCGTGTACAATATTCTGCCTTTAACTGCTTTCAAAGTGTTCCTGTCTGCTCATCCTACTGCTGTCTATCATGATACTTCTACCTTCCCTACCGAATCACAGGTGAAATCGCTCCTATCTCAGTTGAAAGCTAAAAATATAAAGGTGATAGAAGAAGCATAAAAGGTTGGCAATTGTTTAATTAATGATGCTGAGAATGTGACTCTATTGACATATGCTGAATTTATCCCAGCAGGTAGACCTTAGTACTAGCTAGTATGAAGACTTGAGAATGCTGTATTTCATTAAAATATTTATCAATTAACAAACTTTCATTGTTTTGAAGTTGTCATGAAAAGATACATCCAAAACCCCCCTCTTTGGGAGTTTCCAAATGGAACTTACTTTTAATATTTAACAAATTATGGCATAAAGACACCCCTTGGCTCCTGAAGGATGTGTTAAAAATACTTTGTTTCTGTACCAGATACTTATAATCTTTAATAAAACCTTGCCCGTAAAGACACCACTTGGCTCCTGAAGGATGTGTTAAAAATACTTTGTTTCTGTACCAGATACTTATAATCTTTAATAAAACCTTGCCAGTTTTTGTGAGGATATGTTAATAAAGATCAGAGTTACTGTTTGTATTGTTGCACAAATATCCTTCCCCAGTCAGACTCTTGCAAATTGCAGGAAACCATTGCTAAAAGGTTAATGCTTACTGAAAACATAAATTTGGCTGACTTGACCAAGCCTGTAGTGAGAGAGCTGTTCACCATCATAAATTGTACAACATATTCAATAAAAGCAACAAATTAAACTATAATCACACATTGTGATGATTTTTGACCAGATATTTCATGCCACATGCCCACCAGTGAGAATTTGCTACAATACTATATACCCAACTTTGAAAAAATATACCATTCTTCTTGCAATCACTACATATCTACCTATCTCATGATGTTAAATAATTTAGATGTGCCGTTTATCATCTGAATAGAAAAAATGCTGAACATACATCTGTTTCTTGACCTTATAATGTAGAACTTATCTTCTTTGTAAAAGAAACTAAGATGATGATTTAATCAGTAATAAGTGCTACCAGCAGTATTTCTAGTATAAATAACCTGTTGTTGATATGACCCATTCACTACATTTGATGACCTTATAATGTAGAACTGAGAACTTATCTTCTTTGTGAAAGAAACTAATATGATGATTTAATCAGTAATAAATGCTACCAGCAGTATTTCTAGTATAAATAACCTGTTGTTGATATGACCCATTCACTACATTTGATGACCGTATCAGTAGAACTGAGAACTTATCTTCTTTGTGAAAGAAACTAATATGATGATTTAATCAGTAATAAATGCTACA